GCCCGGATGCTGGGCCTGGATGAGAATCTAGGGAACCTGGGGCTGGAACCCGGCGATCCTGGTTGAAATCTTGGAGGCGGGTGGCGTGCTGGAGGATGAATGATGAAATCAGCAAATACGGACCGAGCATCTCCACGTGCCTGGCACTGGGGCTGCATCAGTGAATAAAAAACATCCCTGCCCTTCCCGCCGCCGTGACAAATGAATGAATTGTATAGCGCCTTGGAGGACTGTGGAGACAAAGCAGGGTGGAGGAGTTTGGGAGCATGTGGGGGTGGGCCTCTGGAGAAGGTGACATTTGAGCAAGGACTTGGAGGGGAGGCGGGATGAGCCAGGGTAATGTGGGGAGAAAGCCGTCCAGGGACCAGCCAATGCAAAGTCATGTCCATGGCGTGGTGGACATGGCAATGAATGAGGACTTCCAGTGGGTGCAGACTGAAGGAGACTAATATGCAATGTAACATCAGCATGTTATCTGTCGCTCTGTAAGGAATAGTCCCAAAATACAGCGGCTTGAAGCATCTCACGTCTCTTACCCATTTCCGTGGGTAGGGAACTGGGAGCGGCTTTAGCTGGGTGGTCTGGCTCCCAGCTCCACAAAACGTCACAAAGCTGAGACAGAGTTCACTTCCAAGCTCACTCGTAGGGTTGTCCGAAGGGCTTGGTCCTCGCCGGCTGTTGGGCCGACAGCCTCGGGTCCCTGCTGGCCGCTGTCCAGGGGTGTCTCAGTTCCTCATAAGAGGACCTGATTTAAGCCTTGGCCGTTTGTCGTGATTGGGAAACAAAAATTAACAACATCTCGAACGTGCATGGATAAGCTCAGACCATCACGTCGCACACTTCACGGGGGAGAATATTACACCGCAGTAGCCAGGAATGCGGCCCTGCAACATTCAGCCACAGGACCCCCCCGACCCCCAACATAAAACTGAGCAAAAAGGGCATAGTTCAGGAAAATGTCCACAGGTCCCTGCCACCGCTACGAAATTCAGAACCTGGCCAAACGAGCTGTCATGCAGGGCTGCTCCAAGTGCGACATAATCGAAAGGAGAGAGGGGACGTGGTTGACCCAGAAGTCAGCATAGTGATTCCTTCCGTAGGGGAAGGTGGTGGCACGGCGGGGGGTGGAGGACGGGTGAGTGATGGAGCTTCGACGTGGTGGCCTCGTTCTATTTCGTAAGCCAGCTGGTCGTGAGTGTCCGTTCTTTAAGCAGGACGGAGGGACTCGTTGTGTGTCGGACGGAATTCGTGTTTCCAAGTGGAAAAAAGAAAAACAGCCGTACCCAGCACAACGTGGTCTCAGTAGAAACAGAATGTGCCACCGCAAGAAAGAAGCGATACTTAGGTGGCCTGGTAGGGGTGTTAGCTCGGGCCGTGGTGACAGTCACGTTGTAGTGGAGAAATGCATCAAATCAACACATGTTCAATCGCTTGAACTTACACGTTGCATGTCCAGTATGTCTCAATTAAAAAGCGTGTCCTACAGGAAGGTCGATAGAATGTAAGTTACGCATTCCTTTACACTTTCTAGATGCCGCTTTACAAGTGAAACCATGATATACCCAGAATATTCGAACCCATGTTGTAATTGACATAGAAAAATCATTAAGGAGATAGTTTATATATATATATATATGTTTTTCCATAGCGAGTCTTCGAAACACGGTGTGTACCTCATACGTATGGCATTTTGTAACTTGCGTGCTAAATTTGCAACAGTTTCACGAAACTCTTGAAATAAGTTCGTGTTTAAAGGAAAAATATTTTACATTGCTTTCGTTGGTACACTTTAATGAATTTAAATTAAATTTCATTTAAAGCTCGGGTCCTCGGTCACACCGGCCGTATTTCAAGGGTTCAGTAGCCTCGGGCAGATACTAGCTACCTGGCCGCACAGGTGAAGGGCACGCTGGGAAAGCAGCCAGGTGAGGGGCCGTACTGGCCTGGGCTGGGCGGGGCCTGCACGTAGACCTGGGCTGTCATCCCTTCTGGACCTGTCCCCACACCTTGTGCAGCACCCAGGTGGCCCGTTCCTCACCCCGGTGCTCTCCCCCGCCCCCGCATCCCCCAAAAGACCACAGCTGTTTTGTGAGCTGAGCTGCCACCTGTGCGCAGGTCAGGCCCCTTGCTGTGTAGGACCAGCACTGGGGAGACAGACAGAGGCTGGGGGTGGCAGCCACATGCTCAGGGCTGGCTCTCTCCCCACGGCCACCTTGCAGGGCAGACCTGGGGATTGCAGGACGTTTGGAAGGTTTGAATTCCTCTCCTTTAGGGTGACACACCGCCCCCAAACGTTATTATGTCTCGCGATTTTGTGGGTCGGGAAAGCGGGCTCAGCCAGTGGGTCTGTTCCGTGTGGGGTTGACGGGGGTCGCTGGCCAGGGGCTTCTGTGGTCAGCCCGGGGCCTCAGGCGGCCCCTCTCCCTCTCTTGTGGCCTTGGGGTCTCTCCCTGTGGCCACCGCCCTACCACAGCGGAGCTTGTCACATGTTACCTCAGGGCGCAGAGAGCTGGACAGGAGCTGACAGGCCTCTCTGGAGGCTCATGCCCGCGGCTGACGGTGTCACTTCCCTCACGCCCTGTTGGCTCTGCCGTCACAGGCAGCAGAGGGAGGGAGATTGGATCTGCCCTAGGGAAGACTGTCAGTGAACTGTGGCTGTTGTTTTCATAACAATTTTATCGAAATACAGTTCACGTGCTGGACAATTTGCCCTGCAAAGTGTGTAAGGCACTGTTTTCTAGTACATTCTCACATGCAGGCAGCCATCGCCACGTCAATTTCAGAGCACTCTCACTGCTCCTAAATGAAGCCCCGCCCCCACCAGCAGTCACCCCCACCCCGGCCCCAGCCCCTGGCACCCACTCACCCTCTTCCTGTCTGTGGATGCACCTGTTCTAGACGTGTCATGTAAACAAAATCACACACTGCGTGGCCTTGTGTGTCTGGCGTCTCTCACTGAGCGTCACGTATTCAGGGTCCACGTCATGGTGAGTGTCAGCGCCTCCCCCCATTCCCACGGCCGAGTGCTCACCCCCACCCCGGCCCCAGCCCCTGGCACCCACTCACCCTCTTCCTGTCTGTGGATGCACCTGTTCTAGACGTGTCATGTAAACAAAATCACACACTGCGTGGCCTTGTGTGTCTGGCGTCTCTCACTGAGCGTCACGTATTCAGGGTCCACGTCATGGTGAGTGTCAGCGCCTCCCCCCATTCCCACGGCCGAGTGCCCCTCCCCCGTGTGGACTGACCACAATTTTTCCATCTATCATCAGTGGATGGACATTGGGCTGTTTGCACTTCTCGGAAATTCGGAACATTACAGCCGCGAAGGTTCTGGAGCGAGGACGTGGGGTTTCTCTCCCTACGGGTGGCGGGGAGGCACAGGCCAGGCGCTGACCGCGCTTGACCTCTGAGGAGCGGGGCTGTCCCATGGCGGCGGCCGTTTCCAGCCCTGCCAGCAGCGAGGGTCCAGGGTCTCCAGACCCTCCCGACACGTGTCACCGTCTGTCTCTGACCGTGTCAGTCTTCGCCGGTGTGAAGCGGTGTGGCGTGTGGCCTGACGTGGCCCTCAGTGGTGACGCATGGGGGTGTCCAACTGGGCGGGGGCAAAACCTGTTCTGTTTAGCTGTTTGTTATCTGCCGTGTAATTTTTGGACACGGCTTCGTGGCCCCTTGAATCCTTGCTCTGGGTCCCGCGAGTGTTGGGGTGCTGCCCAGAGGATGTGGAGGAGGGGTGATGTGAGATCTGTTTGGGGTCACAGCCCTGGGGGCGACACTGGGGAGGAGGGAGGGCCGAAGGGGAGCTGCCTCTCCCGCACTCCGCGCCCCCCAAGCTCGCTGGCTGACCCCCACTGCGTGTCCGGCCCCTCCAGCCTGGGGCTGCAAATCTCCACCGTCTGTGTGGGAGTGACTAGTGTCCCCCTGAACCCTGTGAATGGGACCTGCTTCGCAAACAGGGTCTTTGCAGACGTGATTGGTTAAGGTGAGGTCGTATGGGGGCCTGGCACAGACCATCTCTTGCCAACGCCCGAGTTCTCGACCCCTGGCCTTCAACCTGGGAGAGGGTAAACCCGCAGCTTCAAGCCCCTCAGTGTGTGGGACCTGGTCACGGCCACCCCAGGGGCCTCGTGCATCTCGGTCGTAGGTCACCGGGTACTTTCCCGAGTCCTGAGTCACCCCAGGGAGGCATCGTGCCTGGGCATGGTTGTGGGGACCCCCGAGTATGCAGCCAGCTGGTCTGCAGTGAGGGTGGCCCAGGTGCGGCTGGTGTCTGGAGCCTGCAGAGTCTGATGGGGACCGCGCCCCCCAACAATGCAGGTGGCGGAACTCACACACCCAGAGAAGCAGAAGCCGTGTGACAGGTGGCCGAGGACCGCCCGTGTCCACTGTCCCTGTCCTGACTGCCTTGGGTGTGCGGCTCTTGGAGCTCTGAGCTCTTCGAACCGGTGGTGACATCCCCTGGGTCCCCTCACGCGTTAAAAACAATCGTTGTCACACGTTCGTCACGCGCTCTCCTGGGACCCATGCTTCTCCTTCTTCAAACGATGTGGCCTTTTCCAGGAACGCCAAGCGCCTCAGAGTGCTGCTGGGGATGCATCCAGCCACGCCACCAGCACGCGTTTGTTGAGCGCCTCCTGGGTACCGGGAGCACCACGCCGAGCCACACAGACCCCAACTCCCGCGCGGTGGAGCCGACGTCCCTGCCAGCGGCATGGATGACGATTACGGCCAATGAGTTAAATATGTTTGATCGCGTCCAGTCCTAAGAAGCAAAAAAGGGAGGTATGAACCGTTGGGGATAGGGAGAGTAAAATGTATGGCAGGTGCCGATGGGGGGACAGAGGCATGGTGACATGGGGCGGGGAAGGGTGGGGACAGCAAAGGAAAGGCCTGGAGGGAGGACGCCTGGCTGGCACATTCAAAGAATGACAGGAAGGGGTTCTGGCGGTGTGTGACAGTCAGCTGAGGGGGATAGCTTCCCGAGGACACTTTGAGGAGCCCGCTGAGGGGCGCTCGGGGTGCAGGGAGGGAGGGAGTGGCCTCGAGTGGCTTTCACAATGACCACAGGAGGGAAGGTGTGCGGAGCACGGTCTTCGTGCTAAAGCCAGTCTAGGTCACTGTTTCTTTGTCATCGTTCTGAAGAGGGAGTTTCAGAGACGTTAAGTCGACAGCTCAGGGACACACAGCTCGTGAAGCGGGGGAGGTGGCATTGAACCAGGCCCGCCTGGTCCCACGGCGGAGCCCCCCGCCGCCCGGAACGTGCCAGGCCTCTGGTCCCCTCCTGCCATCTCCCACGCCGGGTGTATCACCTCCACTTCTCCCGGCCCGTCTGTCTCGCCAGCATCTCAAAGTTCAGGTGATGACTCACCTCCACCAGGAAACCTCTCCCTGGGGACAGGATTCACGTCTTGTTCATCTCTGCGAAAATAAACAAACAAAAACACAAAAAAAATGACGTCCAAGGCCAGCCCTGCCCCTGCTTCAAACGAATACCTTACCAGCACGTCCAGAGTGAAATCTGGAGCGCTCCCCGCAGCTGCTGGGGCCACCTTCCTCATCCGTCCGCTGTCCCCTCACCCACTCAGCTGGGTTTTCACCTCACCCTAGTCCCCCCCCGCCCCGGGGGTCCCACCTCCGGCCTTTGCACGCACAGTGCTGGAGAATTGCCCTTTGCAGCTTCCCAGGCCTGGCTTCTCGCGTCACCCAGGTCTCAGTTCAAATGTCACCTCAAGGTCTCACCTAGGCCCAGTTCCTGCCTCTGAACACCCGCCCACTGGGGGCGGGGCTTTGACGCATGGATGGGGGCGGGGGTGACACAAAGATCCGGTCTGTGACACCTCCCACGATGAAGGGGCCTTAGCTCTGCACTGGACTCTCTCAAATGTCCCTCCCTAGCCCTGGACTCCTAATCCTCCCAAATTGTAGCTGCCCTGTTGAGGTGGGGACCTAGGATGCGCCCCTCTCTCAGGCAGACCGACCCCAGCCTCCTGGAGACGGTTTTCCCCTCTGCCCACTGGACCACCCAGCTGCCGCCTCCGAGTTGCTTGTGGGGCAGGGGTGCCCAGGATTTAAAAACAGGGTCCCCAGAAGCAGGGCTGGAACCAGGGTGAGGCCCAAAGTCGCTCATGATAAAAAATCCTATTTTAATCCAGCCTTTTTTTTTAAAAAAAACTGAAACACATGCAAAAGAAAAATTTCACGCTGGAGATGTTTTCAAAATTTGAAGTCGAGGCAGGATCAGTCATACTGATTTTTCCTTCTGGCTCGGATAAGCTTGGCATGAATCCGTGGCTGGTTCCGTCGCGGTGGGAAAATTTTAACACTCCGTTCGTCATGGGTGTTTCGATTCAAACCATCGTGTTCGAAATATTACTTATCTCATTCCGGAGTAGTGGTGACAGTTACACAAACTTGTGACTATACCTAACCCCACTGAAGTGGATACTCTGAAAGGGTGAATTTCAGAAAAAGTGCATTAAATCTTGACTTCAAAAAACTAAGTTTATCTTGATACCGAGCTTTTTGGCGCCTCCTTAAATTTTGCGCCCCAAATTTGAACGGGGTAGAGCAGGGCCTCAAAGCATAAGTGTCCCGGGCCTTCCCTTGGAATCGGCCAGCCTCTCCCTGCGAGGCCAGGCCTCTGGACTGTGCGCTGTGCCTGGCCGGCCACCCGCTTCCATCTTCTCCAGGCAAACAAACACCCTCCAGTGCCCGCTTTGCTTTGTCTCTCCCCAAGTCTGACCTCCCTGACTCGCATCCCCCCAGTTCTCTCCCTCTAGACTCCAAACACCCCATCCTACTGCCGGGACCTCGGAGTACAGTGCAGTGTCTGGCAATGTCCTCAAGGACCGCCAGCTCTGCGCCTTGGACCCCTGGCCCTGTCTTCCCGAGGCTCCGTTTCCTCCTTCGTCAACTTGGGACAACGGCTCCAGTCTCGCTTCAGCGGCATCGAGGGAGAAACTGCTTCGGAAATGCTTAGCATGTAGCAAGCGCTTCGCACAGGTTTGCTCTGACTAGAATCTTGAGTGCAACACAGGAGTAATATGAAAGTAATCATGTTTACGGATTCTCCTTTGTGAGGTGGGTGTGCCTCACCTGGATTTCCTGGCCTCACACATTCTGATGGGAGGGGGAGGTCGTGCATCCCCCACCCCCTTAGATGGGTTCCCTCTCCTTTGGGCAGACAGGGATTATCCTCAGGGCTGGGCCTAGGGTAAGGCGAGCGAGCGAGGCACCAAAAAACTCGACAATCGAGATGAATAGGTTCACGCAAAATAGTTTCAAAAAATCAAAATCAACGCAAATAAACAGGATCTGACCCCTCACCTGCACGGCTCACCGGCCTGGTCTTCCCCTAATCCTGACGGGTTTGGATCCTGTCTACCTTTCAAATCTTGATATTCTGTTCATTATAGATGGGGTTTTGTTCAGTATACATTTAGATTAAAAAAATATATATTGCATTAGGATATTTTTCAGCTCATGTTGCATATGTCAAATATTGTGTATGTAAAGATTGCAACTGTCACCCAAGTTCCAGGCCTCCTCACCCCGCCGCCGCCCCTGCACGTCGCCCCTTCCGGCGCTGCGGCCGCAGGGACCCGGTCTGGCCACCAGGTGGCGTCGCCGAGCCTCGCAGCGCCCGCGACATTTCGCGCCCCCACGGTGGGCGGCGCGGAGGCGGCGCGATGCGTCAGCGGGTCCGCAGGCCGAGTCCAGACCCCAGGCTGGCGGGGGAGGGGACACAGCTGTGAGTCACCCGAGAGCTCCCGATCGGTCGTGGGGGACAGTCCCACGCGGGCCTGCACGCATGGCTTGCGAACGGCCTTCTCGGGGATACCGTGAGGCCGGCGGCAGTCCCTGTGTGCGTGGCTCCACCACCAAGGAGCCGGTGGCCTGGGGGAGCGGCGGCCTCACCCAGCCTCGCTGTCCCCTTTTGCATCGTGCAGTTACCGCGTGGCCCCTGCTTTCCCCGCTTCTGGCACACGCTACGCGCCCAGTACGTACATATCAGCGCCCACTCTGGACAGAAGAGATGGAAGTGGCGACCGTCACTGCAAGGGGCCCCGAGGTGGCAGCGTGCAGCGCAAGCACGAACCGTTTTCCTCTGGCTTTCACCCCGGCATTGACGTCTCCCTAGGCCCGGCGTCCAGGTGCGATCAAACGGTGGAACGCGAGGCGCCGGCAGGGGGCGCTCAGCCCGCGGAAGCCCAGCCACCTGCGCCTCCCACGGGCGCCCCACCCTGAAACTCAAAGCGGGTAGGGAGGGGGCGCCCGGGCTCGTCCCTGCTTCTGGAGACCTCGGGGCGGCCTCCCGCGACCACCAGGTGACATTTGTCGAGCGCTTACGGTATACCCCTTATTTTAAGTACTGCTTCCTGCAATCCGGTGAGGCTGGTGTGCATTCTCACAGGACAGGTGAGGGGACAGGCCGACCTTCGCAGCCCCCAACATTGCAGACCTCGAGGGGCCTCCCGCGACCACCACCGTTTATTAAGCACTTACTTGTATGCCCCATATTATTTTTTTTAACGCTTCCTGCAACCCAAGGAGGTCGGCATTGCATGCCCATTAGACAGGTAGGGACGCAGAGGCCCAAAGAAGCCAGCGCCTAGGGTCGCGCAGCCGGAGGGGAACCCCACCACCACTTAGGAGGGATCAGGCTGCAAAGCAGGCCCCCAGCAGAATCTGGGAAAGGCGAGAGCCCGGGACTCTCCGGGGACTGGGAGGGGATTCCAAGCCCCCCCCCCCGAAAGTCCGGGCCGCCTCGCGCGCTGGAAATCCCGCGCGCGCCCCGAAACGCGGCGCGGCTGCCGGGAAATCAGGAGAAAAACTTCTGCTTTTTTTTTCTTTTCTGGCACTCACGCTCCCCCCCCCGCGCCCTCCTCCGGGCTCTCGCCCCCACGTGGGGCGCCCCCGCGCGGCGCCCCGCCCCTCCCCGCCGCCGACCAATCGCCTTTGTGGGTTCGTCACAGGCGGGGCGGATGGTCGTAGAGGACACGCCCCGTATCTTTCGCTCTATAAAAGGCAGCGCCGGCGGCCGCGGGCTCAGATCGCTGAAACCGGGGACCGCGTCCTTCTGCGTGCCGCCGCCTGGATTACTCTTGCTGAGGACTTTGCAATTTTTTTTCCGCCTTCTCGGGGGAGGAGTTCGCTGCCTTCCGGAGATCTAGGACGAGCGCTCAAGCTCCGTGGGAAGGTTTTGGGCTCTCCGGCCTCGGCTTTTGCATTTTCTTCCTCGAGACTGTCGTGGTGCTGCTTTCCACTGTGGATTATAACTGCAACATGACCCTGGAAGAGCTGGTGGCGTGCGACAACGCGGCGCAGAAGTAAGTAGCTTGAGCTCGGCCGGGCCAGACGGGGACTTGAGCGCCTGGTGACCGGCCGGGCGCTGAACCCCTCTCCCCTGCCCCAGGATGCAGACCGTGAGCGCCGCGGTGGAGGAGCTGTTGGTGGCCGCGCAGCGCCAGGACCGCCTCACCGTGGGGGTGTACGAGTCGGCCAAGCTGATGAATGTGTGAGTCAGACCCCGTCCCCGGCTGGGCGCGGGTGGGGACCCCCCCTCCGCTCTGCACGCTCCCTGCTGCGCCCATCTCTTGCACGGTGCCGGGACTTCCCCAAATATCTCCACTGTGGCTGGAGGACCTCTCTGCGTTTTTTGGGGGGGGGGCGGCCTGCAATATCCTGACACTGCATCATTTGCAAGCACCCCGCGTCGGTACGCCCCTACCTTACCTTCCCCGACACTTTGAACGTGCACGCGCCCCACCCCCACTCCCCCAGCTGCATGCACACCTGCGGGTTCCCTTTGTTTTCGCAAACCGCCGGCAGCTTGGCGGCCCCTCCCCAGACCCTCGGCTGACCCGTCCCCTTCCTCTGGCCCCTCAGGGACCCTGACAGCGTGGTCCTGTGCCTCTTGGCCATCGACGAGGAGGAGGAGGGCGACATCGCCCTGCAGATCCACTTCACGCTCATCCAGTCCTTTTGCTGCGACAACGACATCGACATCGTCCGGGTGTCCGGCATGCAGCGCCTGGCGCAGCTGCTGGGCGAGCCAGACGAGGCCCAGGGCACCGCCGAGGCCCGGGACCTGCACTGCCTCCTGGTCACGGTGAGCTGGGCGGGGTCCTCCGTCTGTCCTGCCCCGCCCCCGCACCTGGCCCCGTGTTTGTCAACAAAGTCGGACCTGCACCAGCTCAGTGCTCAGCCGCGCTCGGCATGTCCCCGTGGGCAGCCCGCAGCGGCCTCGTCACCCAGCTAGCTATTTTGCTATTTTGAGCCAGCCTGTTTTCCCTACGCTGGCCCTGGGAGAGGGAGGCTCCCTGCCCACTCCTGGGGCTCCCACTGAACCCCGTCTTTTCTCTTCCTACAGAACCCGCACACGGACGCCTGGAAGAGCCAGGGCCTGGTGGAGGTGGCCAGTTACTGCGAAGAGAGCCGGGGGAACAACCAATGGGTCCCCTACATCTCCCTCCAGGAGCGCTGAGACCCCTTGGCATCAGAACCTGCCGAGTTGCTGCCACAAAAAAAATAAAATAAATATCTGACCCCTCACCCCAGAACAACCTCCCCAAACAACCCAACCCGTGAGACCATCGGGGCAGAATCATGGAGAGGGGAGAGCGTGGGCGGCCGCCCCGGGGCGGTGAGCCTGGAGCAGCGCCAGCGGAGGCCACTGCGAGAGGAGCAGAGGGGGCTCCGGGCCAGCAGGAGAGGGGACCCTGGAGCTCGGGCCTCGCGACGGAGCAGAAGCCGCAGCTGGGGGGAGGCCTGGCCTCCACGCTTCGGGGGTGGGGTGAGCCCGACGGCACCCAGACCCCTCTGGAGACTGAAGCTGACATCTGCGGCGGGCGCTGGTGGACGACGAGGGCGCGGACCCGCGCCGGGACTAACCTTTGGGACTTGGGAGCTGGGGCTGCTGGTGCCCATGAACTCCCGGTTTGCAAACTAAATAGACAATCTATTTTGTTACTTGCACTGTGACCTGAACCACTGAGAGAGACGGGAAGCTCACAGACACGTCTGTTCTTACTTCTGAGGATGGCCTTGTAATAAACTTCTAAAGCTTCTGGGTTCTTGTGTCTGTGCCGCCTCCGAGGGGGACCGGACCCCGCCCCCCTCACGCTCCAGCCGCCCCGCCCCGCCCCCTCCTGCAGGCTCACCAGGAAATGTTACTTAAGTCCCTGTTAGCAGCTCCAGGCTCCTTCGCAAAAACAGTGCCTCTTCTCTCTGCAGCCGGCGCCACCCAAGTCCAACAAATCTTTGCCTCCTTTTTTTTTTCTGCCTCCTCCTGCCCTGTAGCAATTAAAAGACCGGTTTATTACGAAACCTGGCCGCCCTGCCACTGCTGTTACTGGCTGTGCCAGAGCCAACCCCAGGCTCTGGGCACATCCAGACCCAAAGCCCTCCCCAGGGCTGCAGTCCCCGTGTCTGCCCAGCCGCCACCGCGGCCCCCAGGTCCAGAGAGGTCAAGGGGGCACCTGCGACCACACAGCGCGTGGGCTTCTGCTGCCTGCTGCTTCTGGGGGCTCAGGCCTTGCAGGAAGAGAGGGGCCTCTGGAGAGCCCCAAGGAACCCCCCCTTCTCCCCTTCTCCCCTTCTCCCGTCCAGGATGGGCCTCCTCACTGCACCAAAGAGAGAAAGTTTTTTTTCCTTTCCCCAAACTAAAATCAACAAGCAAAAAAAGACCCCAGGAGGTCCTGCTCCGCCCGGCTGAGCTTGGCACCTTTTGCCTCTGACCCAAACCGCAGGGGCCTCCAGCCTCCTTGCGCTCCTTCGGGGGGGCTGGGCTGCGTGCAATGACCCCCGGGCCTGGGCCTCAGCCTTCTCACCCCCAACCTGACCTGGCCTCGCTCCTGCCCCTCCCCTGCCCCTCGGCCTGGCCTGGGACCTGAGGGGGGGGTGGAGGGTGGAGGGGACGTCCTGCCCGCAGTCCACGACCTTTCCACGGAGCCCACGTGGGCGCGCGAGGAAAACCCCTGCCGGTTCCCCACCAACCTGGGAGTCACAGGGCTGGGGGAGCCCCGCGGGGGCAGGTGGTGAGGGAGAGGGGGAAGTTCCAAAGGGAGGGGGAGGGGCGGGGATCCCCTCTGGGGCTGGGAGGAGAGCCCAAAATGAGTAAGGAACTGGGAGGGGGGCAAAGGGATGCCTGTAGGGGTGGGGAAGGGGGGATGCTAAGTGGAGGGACCCGAACCCTGTGGGTTGGAGGGGGGCGTATTGGGGAAGAAGCGGGGAGGGCCCAGAAGGGCTAAGGGGGGTGGAAACAAAACCCTGTAGGGGGAGTGAGAAGACCCTAGCTGGGGGGCCAGGAAGGGGGACCCCCCTGAAGCTGAGGGGTGGGACATGGGGAGAGGGAGCAGAGGCCAAGCGGTCCCCCACTGAGCTGGGGACCTGCAGGGACTGCTCTGCAGTGGCCTGGAGCTCAGGCTGAGTCCGGTCAGCTCCTCCCTGGGAGGCTAGTTCCTGCTGGCCCTTCGTCCCCAGCCTTACCCCAGCCAGCCAGAGGGGCCACGTGACCGCTTACTATGCATGGGAGGTGGGGCGAGCCCCCAGGCTCCCGGGCTGCAAGGAGCTACAAGGCATGCATGGGACTCCCGCTGTGCGGCCCATGGTGGGTACCTTAACCTCTCTGTGCCTCAGTTTCCCCCTCTGCAAAATAGGGATAATTTACCTACTCATATATGGTGGAGGTTCAAAGACAGATTTCTTCATATGCCTCCTACATGGAAATTACTGGAAAGACCATTACTGCCACCACTACTGTTATCAGAACTATTATTATGGCCTTTCATTTCCAGAACCATCTCTAAGCCTCTCAAGCCACCCTGGTGAGCCAGCCGAGCCCAGCCCAGGGCGAGGCCAGGGCCACGGCCTTCCCTGAACCCAAATCCTCAGTCAGCAAGAGAAAGAACATTTTCAAGTACTATTTTTTAAACTCTAACAAGCAAACCGAAAAAAAGATAAAATTCCATGGTCAACACCATTGTAAATCAAGATAAAATCAGCAATGCAGGTTTTCCTTTCCCCTCGGGCCCCAGCAGCTCTCAGCAGCCCTGTCCCCATCCCGTCTCATTTAAACGGTTGGCACTTGGTTCTTCCATTGATTCTTCCATTGACACTTGGTTCATCCATTTTGCGGGTGGAGAACTGAAGGCTCCGGGGATCCGAGAGGGCGTGACTTCCCGGGACCCCGAACTCTCTCCCCTGTCACCAGCATGAACGCAGAGGGTGGTGGCTCTTACGAGCCGCTGTCCGGTTACTGTTACTGCCGGCATCCTCCTCATCGATGAAAGTATTAAGACTTGCCCAGTCCACGGGTGTCTGGGAACCGGCGCTGCCTTTCGCAGAGCTAACGAGAGCAGCAGAGCAGCGAAGCTCGTTGGGCTTCCCCAGTTACAACCTTGACCTCAGCCCCGCGAGGACACTGTTGTTGTCCCACCGAGTGGAGGTGCCACCCCCTGGTCAGGAGTCTTGAATTGTCCGTGGCTGGCTAGTCAGCCCCTGGGGGAAACTCAGGGGGATGGATGGGGACAAGTTGTCCCCTCCTCCTGTGCCCACCCCCAACCTCCCGAGTTCGTGCTGAGCCAGCAAGAAGTTGCCACAGGTCACCAAGGCTCAGTCACAGCTGCAGGTGACCCCCCTGGGCTCCCATCGCCGGGGGCTGGGTGCCAGGAGGCACTATGCAACCGCAGCAGAAGGGTGCACGCTCACCTCGGGGTCCCCACACCCGCCTCTGTCCGCAGCTACACCCACAGGTCCGAGACTCGCACGCACGCAGGCACGCCCCCTACGCAGTTATACGCACACTCAGAGCCACGCAGAGAGCTCCCCAAACGCTGGACACCCCACCGCCCGCTCAGGTCCATGTACTCCCCAGCAGAGGGCTCAGGCTCCAGCCCCACTCCGATCCGCTGTGCCAGAGCTCGCTTCCCTGAGCCGCCTTTCCACGGCTGCCGATGAGACAGACACACGCCTGTCCCCAGCGGACGTCCACACAGGCACACACACACGCCAACGTGGACACGGACAGGGTCACGCATGTGGCTCCCTGCCACCAGGCCTCGGGGGTTTGCAGGGTGCTAGCTATTTCCGAGAAGCCTCCCTGCCTGGGGAAGGTGGGTTGGCCTGGTGAGCTTGTCATAGAGCACATAACAGGTCCCTGGCCCTGGGCTCCCAGAGCTCCTGACCACAGCCCGGTATGGCGGTGACGTCACGCGGCTGGCAGTGCCCTGGGCCGGCCTCCCACCCGTTATCTCTTCGTCCTGGCACAGCCCTGCAAGGTAGGGGCTGTTATCGCCCGCTTTTTACAGGAAGAGAACACAGGGCACAGAGAGGTTCAGTGACTCGCCCAAGGTCACGCAGATGGACGGTGGCGGAACCAGGGACCAAGCCGGGCCTATGGGATTCAGAGTTAGGACTTTATATGTGTTTAATGGATATATAATTCACATTCCACAAAATTCACTCCTTTAAAGGGTAATACAGCCGTTTTTAGCGTAGTACTCAAAGTCTTACAATCATCACCACTGTCTAGTTCCAGAACATTCCATCACCCCGTGAGCAGTCACCCCAGCCCCTGGCAGCCACGAACCGCCTCTGTGTCTCCGAGGATGTGCCCGTTCTGGACATTTCATATCGATGGCATCACCCACCAGGTAGCTCCTTACACTCGTGCAGTGTTTGGGGTTCGTCCATGTGGCAGCACGTGTCACTCTCAGAGTCTGGACTCGTATTGAGGTTCCCGGTGCGTGCGCTTAGCACCTCCCGTGTAGACAGGGATCTGGGGAGGCACTGCAGTCACGCGCAGCTGATCATCGGCAAGGCCCGGGAGTGTGGCTTTGCACGCACACCCTGCCCCCAGACAGCGCCGGCATACCCGGCCCTCTAACCTGCGGCTCGTACACATGCCAAACCTTCCCCCTCCTGGCTCACGACAGCTCCTCTTTCTGTTCTAGTCTGGAATGCCCCCTCCTCCGTGAAGCCCTCCAGACAGCCCCGCCCACCTCCCCTTCCTGGCACCTGTCTTGTGTTTCATGACATATTCCATCCTGCCATCGCTGGCTTCTTGTCTGTGTCCCGTGTTAGGCTGCAGACTCCCAGACGGTTGAGAGAGGGTCTGTCCTTCTCCCTCGGGGCCCCGCGTGGCCAAGCGCAGAGCCTGGGACCCGGCCGGCACGCCATAAATGTTTGTGGCATAAGGACTCCAGCCAGAGTCCCGAGTTCCGTACGACCAGAGACTGACCCATCAGTGACCTCCTTTCTCTGGGACAGACTGTTTTGTCCCTCAAGGACACATGCTGGCCCGCCAAGGGCTGAGTCCTGGCCAGATACAGTGACACTACCTGGCACAGGGAAGCTGGAGCCTGGCCCTGTAGAGGTGGCTGGCCACGTGCACTTGGGCAAGATGCTTCACCTGTTTGGACTCAGTCTTCTGTCTAACGTGTATTAGCACCCAAAGGGGACCCTAGTAGGGGTGCCCATCTCTTGGGGCTGTTGTGAGCACTGAACCAGTGAGAGCATGCTAGGCATCAGAATAGTGGGCAGCCCTCAGAAGCGTTAGCTATTACTGTGAGTCAGGATGCGACTGTTTACGGTTCTTCCTACCTGGATTCGGCGTCTGCCTCTCCACCTGTGTGCCCATGAGGTGGTGGCAGTACACGTGCATGTGTGGCTGGGCCTCGATTCCCGGAGTCCCCAGAGCGAGCCTGGGCTCCCAGAACTGACCAGCTAAGGTCCCGTAATTCTACCGCAACCCCTCCCTGCAGCTCTGCGCCCCGCTGAGAAGTGAGGGGGGCCGGCCTAACCTCCGCAGGGGGCGGCAGATGTGGCTGGTGGTCCAAGCCGCAGGCACGGATGGCGTATGTATGCATGCAGGCACACATGTGTGCTCGCGCACGTTGCACAGCATACACTCAGGTACCCAGACCTGCCAACAGGTGCGCACACACACACACACACTTGATTGTTCCTAACCCTTCCCCGCCCCTCCCCCCACAGTCCCCTAGGGCGGCTGTAACAGAGACCCAGGGACTGGGGGTGTTTCCAGCTGGAAAAGCGTGGACTCTCGGTTCCGGAGGCCGAAGTCCATGAGGAAGGTATGGACAGGGCCAACGCTTCTGACCTTCTGAGGCCGTGAGGGGGCGTCTTTCCGGCCCCTCTCGCTTCCAGTGGCCTCAGATATTCCTCGCCTTGTAGACGCTGTTCTGTGTCTTCACATGGTCTGTGTCTGTGTCCGAACGTCCCCTCCTGATAAGGACGCCCAGTCCTGCAGGATCGGGCCACCGTCGTGGCCTCGTCTTAGCTTGATCATCCGCAGAGACACTGCCTCC